TTTTTTTTTTTTTTTTTTTTTTTTTTTTTTTTTTTTTTTTTTTTTTTTTTTTTTTTTTTTTTTTGTTTTTTTTTTTTTTTTTTTTTTTTTTTTTTTTTTTTTTTTTTTTTTTTTTTTTTTTTTTTTTTTTTTTTTTTTTTTTTTTTTTTTTTTTTTTTTTTTTTTTTTTTTTTTTTTTTTTTTTTTTTTTTTTTTTTTTTTTTTTTTTTTTTTTTTTTTTTTTTTTTTTTTTTTTTTTGTTTTTTTTTTTTTTTTTTTTTTTTTTTTTTTTTTTTTTTTTTTTTTTTTTTTTTTTTTTTTTTTTTTTTTTTTTTTTTTTTTTTTTTTTTTTTTTTTTTTTTTTTTTTTTTTTTTTTTTTTTTTTTTTTTTTTTTTTTTTTTTTTTTTTTTTTTTTTTTTTTTTTTTTTTTTTTTTTTTTTTTTTTTTTTTTTTTTTTTTTTTTTTTTTTTTTTTTTTTTTTTTTTTTTTTTTTTTTTTTTTTTTTTTTTTTTTTTTTTTTTTTTTTTTTTTTTTTTTTTTTTTTTTTCTTTTTTTTTTTTTTTTTTTTTTTTTTTTTTTTTTTTTTTTTTTTTTTTTTTTTTTTTTTTTTTTTTTTTTTTTTTTTTTTTTTTTTTTTTTTTTTTTTTTTTTTTTTTTTTTTTTTTTTTTTTTTTTTTTTTTTTTTCTTTTTTTTTTTTTTTTTTTTTTTTTTTTTTTTTTTTTTTTTTTTTTTTTTTTTTTTTTTTTTTTTTTTTTTTTTTTTTTTTTTTTTTTTTTTTTTTTTTTTTTTTTTTTTTTTTTTTTTTTTTTTTTTTTTTTTTTTTTTTTTTTTTTTTTTTTTTTTTTTTTTTTTTTTTTTTTTTTTTTTTTTTTTTTTTTTTTTTTTTTTTTTTGTCTTTTTTTTTTTTTTTTTTTTTTTTTTTTCTTTTTTTTTTTTTTTTTTTTTTTTTTTTTTTTTTTTTCTTTTTTTTTTTTTTTTTTTTTTTTTTTTTTTTTTTTTTTTTTTTTTTTTTTTTTTTTTTTTTTTTTTTTTTTTTTTTTTTTTTTTTTTTTTTTTTTTTTTTTTTTTTTTTTTTCTTTTTTTTCTTTTCTCTTTTTTTTCTCCTTTTTTTTTTTTTTTTTTTTTTTTTTTTTTTTTTTTTTTTTTTTTTTTTTTTTTTTTTTTTTTTTTTTTTTTTTTTTTTTTTTTTTTTTTTTTTTTTTTTTTTTTTTTTTTTTTTTTTTTTTTTTTTTTTTTTTTTTTTTTTTTTTTTTTTTTTTTTTTTTTTTTTTTTTTTTTTTTTTTTTTTTTTTTTTTTTTTTTTTTTTTTTTTTTTTTTTTTTTTTTTTTTTTTTTTTTTTTTTTTTTTTTTTTTTTTTTTTTTTTTTTTTTTTTTTTTTTTTTTTTTTTTTTTTTTTTTTTTCTCCTTTTTTTTCCTTCTTTTTTTTTTTTTCTCTTTTTTTTTTTCCCCCTTTTTCCCTTTTCCTTTTTCCCTTTCTTTCCCCCTTTCTTTCTTTTCTTTCCCCCCCCCTTTTTCTTTTTTTTTCCTTTTTTTTTTTTTTTTTTTCTTTTCTTTTCCTTTTTTTTTTTTCTTTTCCTTTTTCCTCTTTCCCTTTTCTTCTTTTCTTTTCCCCCCCCCCCTCTTCTTTCCCCCCTTTCCTTTTCCTTCCTCTTCCCCCCCCTTCTTTTCCCCCCTCCCCCCCTCTTCCCCCCCCCCCCCCCCCCTTCCCCCCCCCCCCCCCCCCCCCCCCCCCCCCCCTCCCCCCCCCCCCCCCCCCCCCCCCCTCCCCCCCGTCCCCCCCCCCCCCCCCCCCCCCCCCCCCCCCCCCCCCCCCCCCCCCCCCCCCCCCCCCCCCCCCCCCCCCCCCCCCCCCCCCCCCCCCCCCCCCCCCCCCCCCCCCCCCCCCCCCCCCCCCCCCCCCCCCCCCCCCCCCCCCCCCCCCCCCCCCCCCCCCCCCCCCCCCCCCCCCCCCCCCCCCCCCCCCCCCCCCCCCATCCTTACGGCGTGGTATTCGAGACTTAAATACTACAGTATGACAAAAGTGAATTGCCCTCCCTATTCTAATTGCAGCTCATTCATTGTTTGGGACTGCACTAGGCTACGGGATTTCATCCGTTGACACCATTTATTGTCATTGTGCAGTCCTGATCCGTAGTAAGCAAGTTGCTGCACGATGCTACTACCCTCGTTTTGGCAGTCTGACCAGTACCAGCGGACGACCGTTCGTGTTTGGCCAGATTCTTTGGAAAATCCTTTAGTCGACTTGTCGTAAATGGCACGTGATCTTCTTGCTTCGGTAGTTTAGCAGCTTTTAACGAGAAAGATCAATCTGCAGACTTCCTTCTTAGACGACTTGGACAAAGCAATCTGCACCATGTCTTCGAACTCTCGTTTTCCTTGCCTCAAACTCAGCACCCCTCGACATCTCGTTTTGCCAAAGCACTGCACTTCGACGGAGCGACACCCGCTTCAGCTGCCTCGCGATCTACCAGGGATATTTACTTGAACGCGACTTGTCCTAGTGCAAGGTTCATAACCTGAACACCCCACTGTGGAAGTCCTTCGTCCTGCAAGATGTCAAATAAGTCGAGGACGCGAGCGCTGGCCGACTGCTTGAGCCACCCAAAGGTGCTACTCGCACTTGAGTCCGAAATTCGAGCAAAGCATGAAGCAGACCTTTGCACTTCCATGGTCTTGGTGCGACAACATTGCGCCTTGATTCAAGGTTCATTGCCTCGATATAACTTTTTTCTGCTTCGAAGTAGCGAACCGACGGCGCAACACGGCTAGAAAGTCGGCATGCACTACTTGATCTCCCCACTGGTCAAGCACATCAAGCTTATAATCCGCTGGTGACACTAGCACCTCATCAGTACGTATCATTTGCGCCTTGTCGAGCCATCACATACATGCTTTCGCGTGAGGCCATGTCTGGTATCGCCCCAATGCTCGCGCTCATCATGTGCTAGTGTTCGATTTCGCAACGCTTTGACTTGGCATCTTGTCGAGCAGCACTACTGCTAGAAATGGTATTCACAGCCGTGTACCATGGCACTTCGAAGGAACCCTTGATGATGACCCACAATCCACAATCGCCTCCGCATTCTGTATTTGAGTATACTAAGTTTGCACGATACTTGAGCTGTAGATAAAATAGGCGAAAGGCGTCCGCAGTGTGTCCCTCCTCCAAGAAGTCCGTCACTCCGATGAAGTTCTCTGCGACTTCAACATCTTCCTTTCCCCGAATGTACTATTGGCCAAAGTGCACAAAGTGTTTGCACCACTCTTCTTCGTGGCCACAAGTATTATTGTGCGCCTCGCACTGTGCAATTTCGTCATAGTGATGTGGAAAAATCGCAGATCCACGCCACTAGCGTGCTCATCTAGCTTATCACCGAGCACGTGGTGTCCCATCACCGAGCATTCAACTTGCCACCCGTGTCTTCCCATTCCACACACAATCCCCACGCCACTTCCTCAGGGTCCTTTGCAGCTTTGTACTGTGCAAAATCTCTTATACCTCCTCTGCATGACCATGACGTCGACATTGTACACGTCAACCTGGAGTCCTCGACCACTAAACCGCTTTTCATTCACCTGCTCTCCCGAGTCTGCTCTTGGCACTCACTCAAAACCTTTGATCGCCTTGAGCTGCAGTTTGATGATGTTCATTCCGCTTGATGAGTCGTCTGAATGTGACTCTGATGCTCAACTCATCACTAACACCAATTGTTACGGATCGACATGCGTCTCGTCCACTGATTAACACACCGTCTGATCCCATTATCGAAAGTTTTCAATGGAATGAAATATTGGCAGAAAAAAGCAGGCAGAATCACTTCGACAACGCCATCAAGACTTGTATGTACTACAATGCACAACTGCGGACGAACTTGAGCAACTATTAGTGCTATCTTTACACTATACAGACAAATGGCAGAGTCCTACGTCAAAGTTCTTCATATCTTTGTGGCGGTCGTAATGCAAAAGCGACCTCGATCACGTGTACCTACGAGTTGTATTCATTTTAATTTTCCGTTGGCCGAATCTCCATTTTCGCCGCCACAAGTCACGACTAAATTTCAAAATCAAGGCATTCGCTACTATTGCCGAGTAGCAAACACATAGGTGGTGTTATCACTGTACTTGTATCAACAAATCTTCTCGTCACCATCATGTCGCCACGTGCAGCTTACAAAGTCATGTACTGAACAATTATACCACATATTTGCATCGAATAGAGCAAAACAAAAGTATTTTATTTACGGTCGAGGACACCAGTCTGTACAGCAAAGTGTACTACAATGAGCTCTCATTTGATTAACTTCGGACCGGCCCAATTTCAGGTAAAGACCACACAGATAACAAAACTGGCTCTTGCGGTGTCTTCACTAGCCGGCTGATTCCTTTGTCAACTCTGTAATACCAGAAAAGCGCGTTCTTATCGTCCTTGTCTCCTGATGTCAGGGCAATAAATAAACCACTTCAAATTGCTGCCACTTAGCGCCCTCACGCAAAACACAATGAGAGCGGGTGCACAATCCAGCTGTACTACGGCGGAACGATTGATCAATATCGATCGTACACCCCTGTCATACATTCCGCAGACGTTAAACTTACGATGCCACGAAAGATAACGCTCCATCAGGAAAACTGTCGCGATTGCACAATTACGTCTGTTACTATCCGTCTAGCAACCACACGAAGTGTCCGCCTCTTCTTAACGTTGACTACGCGAGGAGCCACGTGCTTCTCGGGCGCTAATCGAACAAACTACCGGAGCACGAGGCCATACAAGTGAAATATGGCATGGACCGCGAAATGCAGATTTTCATGGCTGTCACGTTTGGTTCTATGACTGGACGTAGTTTACGTCGAAGAGGAAGGTAGCGTGCACAACAAAATGTGTTCTCTAACAAGTTACGTGAAAAAGTCGACAAACACGGTGCATCACAACGTAGCGAATTAATGTACTCAGAGATTCTGAGGTTGTACCCTGTTCGATGGCAGTGGCTCAGAACTTCTGGGCCACTGAATTCCTTTGCATGAGACCAAACGGAAGCAAAAAGGAGGTTTATGGCATGTAGATACACTGTTCGAATGGAAATTGGTCGTGAACCTCTAGCTACAGTAAGACTCTCACGTTGTTCATCAAGTAAGCACCCCCGTTTGAAGCTCCAAGAACTTGTACAGTTGGACTGCGTACTATAGCAACAACAAGCATAAGAGAAACACAGCACATCAAATCAGACATCCTTCCATTCAACACAGCAATTGAAAGACTTGAAGTACCCAAAGAAAGCGACCGCGCAGGAAGCAGGCAGGACTCTTGCGCAGAAAGAGAGAGCATAGCGAGCTTCAGAAGTGGTCCATTATCATCCCACCCAAACCGTAGACGGCAGCATAGACGGACGCGGCGAACCCAACGCCGGCTATAAGCTTCAGGGCGATAAAAATTTTACCCCAAATCGACCTTGGTTGTTTCCCAACTTGCTGCGCGACATTCGCGACCTGCGGTTTAAGCTCCGATTGAGCAACTGACTTCGCAACGGACGGCGTCCCCTCCACGTGCGCTTTTCCTCGAAACCTCGAGAAAAGGCCTGCGAACGGATTATTACCTCGTTCTTCTCCGGCACCTTTCTTGTCTACCTGTTCTCCTTGTGCACCGCTCACGGCACGTTTCTCGGCGATCTTGGTAGAGTCGACCGCCGTGTCCTTCGCGTCCTCTTCACTTGTCGTAGCGACAGTTGCAGCGCCAGTGAAGCTGCCACCGAGGGTGACAAAGGCCGCCACGAATACCGCCAGGAAGACGAAATGTCGCATGGAAAATGCACTGCTGAACGGCCTTAAACGAGTGTGTCGGGGGCCGATTGGGAAATGACCGCATCTGGTCGTTGGCTAGTCTCGACTCGACGGCGCCTCTACATGGCGGACGATTTATGTTCACTACGGGGATAAAAAACCGAAAGCTGTGCTCTCAGAAGGCAGATCCGTCGATTTTATATTCTCAAGTAATTTTCGATTCTGTGGTCACCGAGCTGGCTTGATTCGACCAACACTGTTCTGCTAGTTGTCACGGAGGTTGAGAAATTTCTGAAACCTGGTCGACGACCTTCATCAGAGGGTGGGAAATAGTGCTACGTCAATTGTGGGCAGGATCCAGTACCGGTTGTTTGTTATGAACAGTTGCACTGAGCCAGATGCTCTTCGCCCAGTGGTGCGTCGGGGCACATTTGATCACGCTGTGAGCCGGAATTGACCTGAAGAGCAACGAAGTCGACTACGAGGTGATGGTAAGATGTTATGTCAAAATGGCTCGCTGGGACTACCGCAGTGGTAACAAGACTCCTAGTCAAGCGTCCTCTGTCACCTGATTCAAATCGCCCCGAGAGCGAGAGCAGCCCCGCCATCCGGTAAAGTGCACACAAGAATCTCACCCCGAACTTGGTCCATGGACAGTTTCCACAGGCCCCTCTGGAAGTGCCCTGCCGTGATGATCGACGTCTTGAGCTAGCAGAATGATACAGCTAGTAGTGGTTTGGCTGTGTCATGGTAGATGACACGAGGTGGTTACCACGCAACCAGACATCTTATTAGTGAGAAGTAGCTACAATAGACAGTTTCAACCTCTCTCCAAATTTGATCAAAACCCACTGGAGTGTTTACGAAATAACTACATCTTTATAAGTTGTGTAATCAGAGTCGATTAACGTGACGACCGCACGTCCATCTTGGTGGCGTGTGGCTACGATAGCATGGACGCTGCATCAAAACTGCGACCCACTCACGGTCTGTTGCCACTCCTCCTTTGAAAATATGCTGAACGTCAAGCAATATAGTATCGACTTCTGGGCCTTTTTGATTGAAACTTGTCTGAAACTTCACAAATATCGTGACAGCTTTTCTCTGGCCCCTTCAAAGACAAGGCGAAAAGGATTTTAATCGGAATCACGAAATCTTGAATCGACGACTATCGGATCAGTTCATAGATTAGTGACAAGGCGGACACACGGTTATCAGCAAATCGAGCTCGTATCAAGCATACTGCAAGACAGAGCAAAAACTAAGGGCACCAGCAAGACGAAGATAGTAGCACTTTTAAGACCAAAGCCAGAGGGTGAGGTGGGTGTTGACTGCGATGCAGAGATTTAGAGTAAAGCTACGCGGACAATTTGGTGCGATCACTGTAAGACTGGGGATTAATTGTAAATTGCCCAAACTGTCTGCTACTCCGACTGCGATTGGATGCTGGTCCACCATCAAAGCAGGAGATTACGCCATTGCAGCTGTGCCACTGGCCTGGCTGAATTATGTGGTTGCATATATCTTGCATCAGCATGGAAAAAATAGAGCCCCATCAGTGTAATCGACAAAAAATCTACCAAGGACGTAAACTTTATGTACATGCATGCATAATGTACCCCACCTATTCGAAGATCACGAATTGTATTTGCCCCCGGTGGTCACTTATACTGTAAAGTTAGTGTGAGCTTGCCAGCGTAAAGCTGTTCTTTTACTTTCGACGATGCAACTTCTGAAACAGAGTGTTATTAATTTTACTTACGCCCTAGGCAGGCACATTTTTTTAGTGATGCCTTTGAAAGCTTACACATTTTAGCTACAACTGGTCCAACGGTTCGAATCAAAGTTAGGCCGTACAATGTTGAGTAGTGTGAACACTGATCATACAGGTGGCTCAATATGATTTGTTTGCTTCGCTTGTGTAAAATATATATAGCAGCTGACGATATTTGGCTGCAGGTTGTAGTCGAATACCTGACTATAGTATTTTACAAAGCTATTTGTGCTGTTTTGTATCGAAAACAAGCTGGAGAAGGTAGAACATGTGACGGGGGTGCTAATATCACATTCGTGCGGCGAGTAAGTGGTAAGGGGTAGGATAATAATGGGCTAAATATCGCCCGAACAGCAGAAGACTGAAGTGATACAGTCTTGTCAAGTAATCATCAAATCGAGTGATATTTTTACTGTATTATTAATCAAAACATCCCGATACTAGCGGTAAAAAGTGTGGTTGATTTACACATACGTCGTAACAACACGGGATATCATAGGCGTTCTCGGTGGTCTCGTGGATTTCTGTCACTCCCGTACCTTTGATCTCTTTGATGTTCATTGTGATGGAAGTGGATAACCAAGTCCACAGAATATGGACCATTCTAAACACGTTAAAGTTCATACTTTCATATTCAGGAAAAATGTGCGTAGTTGCATAAAGTTTTTCATCGCTGGCACATCATCATCTTGTATCTTTGTGGAATGCAGAGTTTATTTACGTATATTTGTACATGTATATGTCTGTGGTCTAGCATTATTGCTTTTACATATATGTTTGTGTCTTCATTTACGGTCACAAGCTAACACTATAAACGTGGAAATATCGAAATGTAAAAGCTTAGTCATAAATGTGGAACTTGAATGAATTGTTCTATTTTTGAAGCTAGTTGCTTGGGCAGTAACGATACCGATTTTTTTTCACGTATCACGAAAACACATAGAAAATAACGCTAGTATTCGCGCAAGGAATAAAGTCAGCATTTTTATGGTCGGATACGAGCGTACAACAAGGCGAGTAATTTCTAGCTTAAGGCGGTATGCACATATACACATACTAGTAATCAATGCAGACGAAAGTCAACGCGACTTCGCTACAGTCGCATCTGCTGTATCACATCGGATGGTCTAGTCACCTGGGCATGATTAATCGATGGAATGGTACTACTGTCTCATTGCAGTTGCTGCCAATTCACGTAGAATACATGGCGACCATTCCGACACTTGCCCCACGTTTCCTCGGTAATAGATGATGAAACATGGCCATTTGACCAGTAGCCAAGAATTTGTGGTCTGACACGTCCAAGCTCGGACCGCTGTACGAGATGAGCGACCAAGTGTTCAGCTGAGAGTTGAATGATGATCGACTTACAGACCTAGGAACACGTCAAAGCGATGTACAAAAACTTCGGTCTGGATTTGATTTTGCGCGGCATCTTCAAGCTTGTATTTACAGATATTTTTTCACTAAATTGTAAGCTTTGCTACATTTCGTTTAAATCGTTTCAACAATGCAGACTATGCGACTGGCTATGTACTTGATTCTTTCACAACAAAGACAACGCACACTCAACGTTTGTTTTGATGCAGTCTGCCTACTAAGGAAATCAACGCAAAAGAGTAATCAAGCTAAGCAACCTGTTGGGTATCACATAGTATCTGCTGCTGATGTGTCGAATGAGTTTTACGCAATAAACTACATAGAGGTTGACGCTATTCTACCACGGCAAATCAACTCCTACAAAGAAACCGTCCTGAAATCTCGAGTCCGTGGGAAACAAACTATCGTCTTGCAGCTGCAATTGAATGATGTAAGAGTGCTAGTGCGTGACAACTTCGGTCCTAACAGAAACTCAGCAAAAGCTGTACCATAGATTCGGCATCCTGGACTTGCATCGATCACTTGAGAGCAGAATGGGCTTGAGTGGATTTTGCTGATACACTCCAACGCCCTTTGTAACTTACTATACCTTTTCTTTTCGACGGGCTGACAAAAGTGGTTGATGCCGCGTAGCTATGGTGCAATCTCGAAATGAACAACTTACCGCACATTGGGTAAGCTCGTGACGTATTTTCCTTCCCTCAATTGAAGGTTTCAGCCAAAAATGAACTCCCTCCTCTCACTGCAGACTTAAGCTTCCACCAGAACAAAGGTCGCACCACGGAAAATTAAATATCTGTCTGACGCTCTTGCGTGTTATAGAGACAATGTATCCGAGAGGAGCCGCTACTGTTTGCATTCTGCAAGCCCTCCTGTCCAATAGACATGAACATGTCAACGCGACCAGCTGGGACTCCCTGAGAACGCAACAGACCGCCGAGCTGTGAGAGAACCTGCGAAGCGTTAGCCGTCGTTACAATGGCGGTTGACGAAACGGGTGCGCCCGAGCCTGCATTCTGCAAAAATGAATGGGTCAATAAACCGCCTTCGCCAGTGATCGGAGGTCGGCGCCGATGTTCTCGTTGCAAGCATGAGCGAATCACGTCTTCCAGGTCCTTGTTTCGTAGCGGTGGAAACGGAATCGGTACCGCCGGGTCGATAATACAGCGGAACTTCTCAATGATGTTGTGCACATCCGCAAAGGGAGGCTTTGAGTACACAATCTGGTAGAGAATGCACCCTAGCGACCAAATGTCACTCGCGCGTCCGACCTGCATAGCAAGTCAGGGCATCAGTACGTAGAACAAGTTTCGTTGATGCCCATCACATCGTCAACCGTACCTTCATCTTTCCTTTGGGGTCGCGATCGCCGTTGGGCATCGTATTACCCTGAATAGCCTCTGGAGACATGAAATTGACTGTGCCAATCTGACTATCACGCTCGATATTCGTCGTATCATTTGACGGAATCGCCTTTGCGATTCCAAAATCGATGAGTTTCAGCGCGCCGTTGACAAACAGGAAATTTGCCGGTTTTAGATCGCCTGTAATCAGAAGTTTTTAGTCTGCGGTTGTGTCGTATCATCAATTCCCCAAAACTGACCGTGGATAATTCGCATTCTGTGAATAGCATCGACAGCTTGAAGCATTTGAGTCCATATCACTCGTAAAAGGTTTTCATCCATGCCGCCTTTCAAGTTGCGAAGTCGTTCACTCAGATCGATCTCACCATGTTCCATTATCTAAAAACCCACGAGCACGACACACGTAAACAAAAATGAAAGAGATGCGACTCACACAAACGTACCACGTTTATCTGCCGCTGCTGTAGATCCTGCTCGGCAGCAATGAGCTTGATAATATGCGGATTCCCTTGTAATCGTTGCAGCAAATTAATTTCGTTCGTGTACTGGGCAATACTTTGCGCATCAAGCTTTTTAAGCTTAATCTTTTTCAGCGCATATATCTTCAAATCGGGGCCAAGCATCCTGTAAACTTTGCTGCTGCCCCCACTTCCAATCTGCTCCAACTTTATATACCTCAGCCCGTTCACCTACAACAATAAAGACAAAGCAGATGAATAAATTACATTACGCTAGATCAAGGAAAGCAACAAGTAGCAAGCACCTACCACGACTCGGCTCGTCAGCGAATCCAGGGCATCCCGGGACGACGCACTGCTCATAGACGCCACAGGTGGGGATGACGACGAAGATACGGAGCTTGGTGAGCCCAAGCGAAGCTGTGGAGATAAAGCGCCCTGAACTGGTGAGCCTATATCGGCATAAGTCTTCACCATGGCTACACTTGGGTCTAGCTGTTGTCGCTTCGGAGAACGATAGCGATCGTGCGCTGTCATGCCGCTGCTGTTTAACAGCCCACAAGATCCGGACGTTGCGTCTGCTTTACCGTCCGGTAGTTCTTTCATTTTTGGAGACCGAAGCCGGTCGAAAGCAGTAGAATTGCTAACAGATGTTGGCATCTTCGTCCGTACATCAGATAACTCTTTCCTTTCCGTATGCCACTGCACTCCCACTGGCGGCACAGGCTGCGCCTCCAATGATTTCTCACCCTTTGTTTCTCCTCCGCAATTCTTCAGCTGTTTACCATTTGCCATGGGTTTCGCTCGCTTACAAATCGGGAGTCTCGCGTCTTTACCACCGACCGAACACCCTTTTGCATCCACGCTTTTGGCTGGATTCCATTTCAGGATATGGGAAATGTCGCCCACATCAATTTTTGGCTTGGATATTGTGTCTGATTTGAGCACAGATGGAGTGTCGTTAGCCTCCTGGAAAAAGTCGGATCGGCATTGATGAGTTACACCCTATGAATATGTCAGGCTGACAAACTAACCTTTATTGAAGACATTGCCTTGTTCGACTTGGACAAGGATTGCTCGTTCCCAAGTGTAGCGTCTTCGTCATTGTCGTCATCATCTTCATCGTCCCGATTCGAGGCAATAACGCGCAGCGGTGGACCTCCTATAGCAAACACACGCAAGCGCTGTTGTAAAAATGGTGAACCAACACTCCGCCGAAATCAAGAAAACTCAAACCTAGCGTAAAGCGCGCAGTCGGTTTTCGCAACGTTGATTGTGACTTAGGACCAGACCGTGTCGGAAGCGACGGGGTCGTGAGTAGGGACGACACGTTTCCAGTGCGAGGTGCCTTGGATACAGTAGAAAATCCCGATCCGTATCGAGCGTGGGAAACCGGCGACCCCTGCTGCGCTGGCGTCACAGCGTACACAGGCGTCGAAGTACGAGCGTCTCGTCCTGTACGATACCCACCAGGTGTCGAGTAAATCGACGATCGAAGTGGCGTCGACGCACCACCACGTGGAGTAATTGCAGCTGCCTTTCCATCCCCCATCATCTTGTCCGTCATACTGCAGTCTTGAGTTCTCCGAAGTACCTGCATCTTCGTGCGCAGCGCCAGCACTCGCTGCTCCTGTGGCGAGCCCGAGAAAGCCGCGACCCAACCTGCTCGCCCCGCTACAACCCGCTGCCACAACTCCTCCTTCTGAGCCCCCGTCAGCGCACCATTCACCACTCCTAGCTCCAGCACTTCTTCTGCCACCCTCTTATTCCCTACACCAATCAATCAACAACCACAACAAGTCAACCAGCAGCTTTCCACCTCCTCTCCCTCTCTCTCTCTCTATTTCAGCTCCATCCACGCACCCGCTTCAAACTCGAACGCCGCTTCCTCTTCGTACCGCAGCGGCTGCTGCTCGCCCACACGTCGTTTCTTCATCTCCTGGAAGTTCTGCCGAATCCCCAGCTCACTACTACCCAAATGGAAAAAAGAAAAGACAACCAACAAAAAAAACAATGATACAGTCCACACAAACACACACACACCCTCTCTCTCTCTCAGTATTTCTATCCCATACTTTACCCAAGACAAAAAAAACACACACACACACACCACGTACTCGCTCAACTTGGCCAACATGATGCACATCTCCGTGTACTCGGCACTCGCCCGCGCCGTCTCCGAGTCCGTGCACGTCAACGCGCGTCGCAGCAGTCGGATCTTGTTGTACTTTCCTGGATTGCCGCCCAACGGGCAGCGCAGGAGCTCCAGCCACTGGGTCACTGAGCGCGGCGCGTCTTTGAGCGCAATCACAAGTCGCAGCCGCCGCTCCGTGGCCTTTTCCAGCATGAAAAGCGACCGCGCCGACTCGCCAAGGTGCAACAGCTGCGCATTGTGGCCCTCGGTCTCCGTGTACCGCATTATTGGCACCGGGAGTTGCCGCACGAGCGACTCGAGCAGCGGCTCGTCGCGGCGGTTCGGCGCCTGGTTCTCCTTGTCGTCCGACAGCTGCAGCTCCATCTTGATCTTCCGTCGCATGCGCAGATGCGAGAGCACGTCACGCGGACGCTTGCGGCCTCCGCGATCCAGCGCGTCGAGGCGGCCACCGAGTGCTATGGTGTCTGCCGAGAGTGCGCGCTCAGAGTGATGGTCACGCGCACGACACACACGGGCGCAGACTGGACCAATCAGCGCGCGGCAATGAGAGCCGATTCATTTCAACCAATGCCGGAGCGAGACAAACAGTAGCTGATATTAAACCAATCAGCGTGAGCGTAGACGGTTTTCGGTCCTCTATTCAGCACACACACACGCACGCCTCGACGCGCGAAAAGGGTTGGCATGACGAATGGCTACACATCAAGTCATGACTCGGATCTGGACTGGACTGTCTACTGCTACGACCGGGAGCAATGCGCGACGCGTCCTTTATCGGGCACAAACGCCTCCTTCTGTGGATCAATGCGCTGTGTGAGACGGAGCTGACGCGCGTGGAGCAGCTGTGCTCTGGCGCGATCGCTTGCCAAGTGCTGGACGCGATGTACCCAACTCGCGTACCCATGACGAAAGTGGACTGGACCGCAACACAGCCGCACGAGTTTACGCGGAACTACAAGGTGCTACAGAAAGTGCTGACGGCGTTGACGGTGGGGAAGGAGGTTCCAGTGGACCGACTCATTCGGGGCAAGTATCAGGACAATCTGGAGTTCCTGCAGTGGCTCAAGAGCTTTTACGACCGTCAATCGACTCGGTCGGGGGCTTACGATGCTCTGGCTCAACGCGCTAAGGGAAAAGGGGGCTCTCGGTACCGATACAATGCCGACAAAAGCGACTGGCTCTTGCGTTCGATACCATTGAGGAAGAAACGAGCACGGGTTGGGCTGGATTTAGTCTCTTATGACGAAGATCAGGAAGTGGCGTCGGAGTTCAAGGCGATGGTTGAGACGATGCAGCAATTGACGATCACGAGCAAGGGACTGATGGAGGAAAAAGAAGCGCTCGTAGCGCAAATCCGCGAGCTGCGTGAAGCTGTGAGTGCTTTTTTTTGTTTTGATGGTGTTAGTTGGTGCGATTGTTTTATTAGTCTGAGGTTGTTGGTTGTAGATTAAACGCACGAAGAACGAGCGTGATGTTTACATGAAGAAACTGGACGCTATTGGAGAGTTAGTGCACGCTGTGGAGCTGTCAAAGACGTCGAGCGCACAGACGAATCTGCTTGGACTCTCGATCCTTGATGTGGTTTATGCGACTGAGGAAGATGAACACGATGAGGAGCTTCCCTTTTGATGTAAACTGATATCACGCAGACGCTAAAAATGCAAGACTGCGGAGCTGAGTAGTGTGTAATCGGTCTAATGTAGATTGACTGATGTTGACAAGTGTGCTTCTGGCATGACTGTTCGCGCCTCTGATGGGACACTAATGTTGGACAGTGTGCATCTCATACTTTGTTGTCCGACACACAAAGTTTCGTGCCTTGCAGATGGCATAATGCTTTGACGTTAGCATCTCACATCGTTTCCCATTGTTCAGAGGCATTGTCTCTGAGCTGAAAAGCTTCCGGTATTTCATTAGTCATCCATCCGGCGATGATGAACGTCATAAATTTGCGTGACAGAACACAACCTCGGCACATTAGCAGGTAGAGAGCACTCGCGCATTCAAAAAGCTGTTACGCTGTTGGCTACAGTCGTAAGTTTAAGATTTACAATCGGGCCTGGACAACCCTTAAGCAGTAGTGCATTGGAATTATCTCCCCATGCTTGAGCTGCTGTAGTCAAGACAGTCGAGAAGCGATAAACTTTGACCAAATTCGATTCGCGATGAAGGTGAGTAATTAGCGCAGCTATAAGCAAGTCGCTGTCGGAGCCTCTTCCTTGTGCACCATGTGTGTCTAATTGGACGGAAGGAATGCGTCTATTCGGCATGTAAAGCGCTTACACAGAGACAGCAGCTGTCAATCAGCAGACGGTAAAGGTGACTTCATGTTTCACTCAAATCATCGTGTCAACGTCGAGCTCTACTGCAAGACACCAGTCGACAATGCGCTTCCTGGTCTTCAGAAAAAGACTTAAAGTCGCCCGGCCAAGTGTTCGACTTCGTCAAATGCCGCTCAGGCGTGTCGACAAGCGACGTACGTGCAAACAAAGTGTAAATCTTTGGCATCCATGCCAGCGTCATTCTCCTCCGTCGCTGCCAAGAAATGCTACGATCGCATACAGCTCTTTCCCTAGAAATTATGCCACATAGTCGACAAGGGAGAAATGCTTGTTACATAGAGCCACTACAATGATAGATGACGAAACCGTTGAGTACAAGTGACCAACAGCTTCAGCCTGGATAGTCGACTCTACTTCCTTCTTAAACTACGTGAGCTATCAGCTGCAACGCAAACTTGGCTGCTGCACGATTCAACCACTCAAAGCTATGCACAGAATAGAATGCCGAGCCAAATCGAAGAGATGAATACGATGGTGTTATGTTTCGTTACAGCAATCAAGGGAAAGTGGTCAGTGAATAGTAGCAAAAATGTAGGCGATTCCACTTCGTAAACTGGCGGCACGTCCATTGGCGTATCTCAATTTTCCCTTTTTAAATCTCTTTTTCAAGAACTTAGTCGTCTATCGAGGTATAAGGGCAACCTTGGACATAACGCTTTCAAAATAGTTACAATTTGCTCTATGATTGGCGCTCTCGAACAGTGGCTCGTGATGATCATCGGACAAAGCATCTCAAAGTTCGCAGATATCTACTGCTTAGCGAGTCAGTTGTGTGCGGTCATCATCTCATTTATAACAATTGGTTTACCTGCTTACAGCAGTGACATTATACCCGCCTAATATATCGATCTTCATTGGCTTTTGTGTCATCGTTCTACTTGATTTAAGCGTCGTTTTGCCCAAACGAGCATATTGCTTCTTGTGCGTATCGTCCGCAAGTGCGCGAGCTTTGTGATTGCTTATGGCCAAGAAGTGCACACTAGCGTCGCAAAGGCCTTAGAAGTTGGTTTTTGCAAGCTCATCAATTATTTATTGCTAGCTTAGATCGGAGGCTAAAAAGTTTCAGTAGAGCATTTAGCGTATTCATTTCATTTATCTCCACTTCGGTGTAGCATATGGAGATCTCAAACCTAGTAAGTCCTCTACATCGATGTCATGCAGGCGGCGGAAGATTGAGCAGAGACCAAAGGCACTTCTGCTACGCCGCTAGAATTTATCCCCGTTTGAATCAGCGAAGCTCAAGTTGCAACAGGGACCGATGGGTCATGGTCCGGGTCGACACCTGACCCGTGACCCGGACTCGCCAGGTCACAACATCTGGGCGACCCAACAAAACCTTGTCCGGGCCGGGAATCTAGTTACGATACCCTGCAAGCATTTTTAAGATCTGGTAATCTTTTCTGATCTGTAACCTTGAAATTGTGTTTTTGTCTTGTTCTGGATGTTCGTAGTTTGTTGGAAGTGACAATGGTTTCTAATTTAATACGGTCTGCATTTTGACCGATTCGTTAAATAAATAGCGTACGTTATTACTTAGCAGCTCGTAAAGTCATGATCGTCGCTAAATTGTTCTAAACACTCTATCTACTGCACTCATATGTTATCAAAGGAAGCTCTGCCCAGAGTTAACTGGTGGTGAGACGGAAAACTCGCCAAACCATTTACTTGTCGTGTGAATCTATCGACCATGATTTTGATAAAAATGCGTTTCTTCCCTCATCACGCTGCAAACCGCAAAAGCGGCACAGCTTTCTCACCATTACATCGAATACGATAGGTAGCGGCAACTAGCGGGGCCCACTTAGCTCTCATCGCATCAAATCCTACCGTACATGCTAAGACAAGTTCAGCATCGAACGTGCTTTACCAGACCTGCTCTTTGACGACTATTTGAGCTCGATAAAACGAGCAAATCGACCGACGCAATAATCTGCCGTTTGCCTGATCGTAACAATTCCACCAACAACTATCAACAGATGCAGTGAACGTGTCTATCATCATCAAGTTAGCGACTACTTCCACAGGCAGTACCATCCCAAGCACATCTAAAGGAAGTAAGGCTTCTTTCCACACTCTTTACCACCCTTTTCGAGGTAGTGGCAATACTCGTTCCATGGACAAGTTGTGGTCCCACCATTGCACGTAAGCGCTCCATGGACATCATCCACTATGTCGGCAGGAGCGCAGATACAGCTCCCGCCTACCCCCTGCAGACACTTGCACTTGAAATCCCTCTGGCACACAGGCGGTGCACCTATCTTCCAGTTGAGCTCCGCTGTCAAGGTACAGGTTTCCCAAGGAGCGATCGACTTCTCCTCAGTCTCGTACGGATTGTCCTCCATGTTGCTTGTGTTATACGCCAAGCAGGACGGTTCGGTGGAATACGCCTCTTCGCCGGGCTTCATCCGGCACACGAAGTTCTTCCTCCCACACATAGGCATCGCTGTGCCGAAGTATGAGCAGAACCCTTCATCTTCGACCACATAAGCGTAGTACTCCACGTTGGGCTGATCCGCAGCTCGCTGCGCATTATTCAGAGCCAACGTCGAGGGAGTTTTTAAGGGCTCGGCGATGGCCAGGGCGGCTGCAAGACTTAATACCGGCACTAGGAAGCGCAAGGGATGCATGTTGTGGACAATATTCAGTCCAAAAGTGATAGCTGTTGTCGGTGTAGGCAGTTTGAGAAGTGCTGCCCAGAAATGTGAGACCATGTAAACACTCACAAGTGTCTTATCTAACGAGGTGGCGATTGATCAACAGTTGGTTGGCTGGCTGTCTACAGCAGCAAAGCCAGAAAGAAGCGCACGCTTGATCGACTTGACTACATTTTGGATAGCCCTACGTGTACAGTGGAAGGGTAAACTGTAGACGCGGCCCTAAAGCGTATTGCCACTAAGTGCAGCATTCGGCTGACGCAGTGTGACGGCGGCTGACTATCCACGAGCCTATTAGTACTCGTCAAATGGCCACACCTGCTTAGAACGTCGTCTCGCCAAGAAGCTTGTAGAGCCGGCTCAAGACAAAACCGTGCGACGGCAAGGCTATCCACCACTAGATCGTGCAACCGGGTTCCGCCCCCGCGTACCTCGGCAGTTTGAATGGATTTTGAGACCCTTAACAATCAGTGCTTTACGTTGTAAGGCTCCACACGTGCTCTGTGTCAATAGGTTTCTTCACTACATCGAATACACAAATCGCTCACAGCGGCGAAGGTGCTTGGCATTTTAATTGCTCATCGCCACACAGCTGAGCTAAAAACCATCAGCGCCACATCGTGTCGTATTGGGCCTTTGTATGTACTATGCACTGAAGGACGCGGTCATTGTTTACGACCGGTTGCGATACTTATTGCTTGTAACGATACGAGGTTGCTGCTATGTTGAAGGCCGTCGTCACAATCTGCTTGTTCGCGTCAGCCCCCTCGAGTATTACAATTAGTTGAACGTGGATATACATTCGACCGACTCGCGAAGTATTTCGAGCCGACAAACCGCATGCTGTCACCAAAGCATATGCCCTTGCTTTTCGAGCTCCCGCTGTAGGTTTCAACGGGACAACAATGCAGGGCTGCGAGTGCGAAAAGAACTTTCCGTGCTGTTTAGATTAGCAAAAACCAGATGTCGCGCACGTCCTTCGACACAAACTTGCTCCTTTTACATATGCGGCTATAGGTGTAGGGGAGCCGTGAAGCACCAACCGGAGGGTTTCGTTGACCATCCCACCCCCTGTAAATCCTTAATATTACCAAATTTGAGTCTTCTGATCATCAGATTATAAAAAAGCAAAATACTCAGAGGTAAGTTTAGATATTTGAGTGATCACGAGCCCGAAGTGTGAAGCTATGTGTGAGCATGCGCAAGGTTACATGTCGAGCTTTTAAATCGTACTTATCTGTGTGTGTGTGTGAGTCTGTCTTTCCGTCTGTCTGTACATAACGCGGTTATCTACAGACAGACACGTTGGATTGGCTTACACGCATTAAGTGTGATCTAGCCCGTCCTCCCTTATAGGTATATAGGCATATCTGGAGTCACTCTTTGACTAGGTCAGATTTGGGACGCGTGTACGTGATTGGCTTAAAATCAACCAAAGGTGAGTGTGACTGCATTAGCAAATGATGGACGTTCATAAGAACAGGCTGAGCGGGTTGCTCCCCTCTGGTATGCCGGGTTAATACAAACAAGTACAGCATTACACTCTTTTTTCAGTAACTCATGTTGTATAGTGTTTTGCAACTTGATTCAGTTCTTCGAAGTGAATTACTTGTATCAGGGGGCGGGATCCAGAGCGCGCTCTCCTATCTTCGGACGTAGTAGGTCTTTGACTACATTTGTTTGAAAACTAATTTCATGTATCGTTTTCATCGTAAAACCTTGCCATGTTTTTTCAAAGACTACTTGTATCGTTTATTTTGCTACCTCTTCGACTTCTACAAGAAGGAATAGACGATACTGGAGGTACCGGGTGACGGCACGCTTATGTCCTTTGGCCAGGCTGACCCCCTCCCCCCTCCTGCAATGTTGACGCTGAAAAGATTTAGCACGACCTCCGCATAACCCTTTTAGCAATTTTTCGCGCGTCGTGTGTTGCCGACAGCGACTCTAAACTACCAACAGGTATTCAATGGCCCTAAATACGCTTATAATCATGTATAGTTGCTGTTTGTACAAAAAAAAATGGCAACGATCCCACTGGCTCGGACTTGTTTCCTGACAGTACCATCAAACATACATTTGCGTCTTCGTCTTTCATGCGTCGCCCTCCCCCCTCTGATGTGCTTGTTTGTTGTTGATCGCCTTAAACTGCTGCATCTTTGCATAGCGCCAGGTGATCTTGCTTCGGCGTTTCGTAGATGGCATCAAGAGATGGTCAACACATTATATAGAAAGCGACTTATTTGATGGTTGGGTATTTCGATCCGTTGTATTGGTATCAGGACGGTGTAGTAAATAAGCGTGTACTTACTTTATTTGATTTTTCGGATTATTCAATGTGGGTATCGTTGAATTCACTCCACTTTTTACAAAATACACCCCATACACCACACCCGTACTACACCACAATATGTTCTGTGCGATGAATGTCGCGCCTACCTGCTTCTGTACGACCACTATCGCACAACGATCTACATCTGTCCTAGCCGTACCTTATCCGTACCAGATTCGGGCTAGCGTTATTTACAGACAAACGACAGACACACATCCACATCAGTAAGTACGATTCCAAGCGTTCGGCATTCGACCTTGCGCACACTCACAAATTGCTTCAATCTTCGAGCTCGCAATCATGCATATTAGAGAGGTGTCTCAGTTCTGTGTTCTTCTAAATCGACCATGTTCTGGGAGCGCAGCTCTAATCGGTTCTATAAACGAGGAAAAGGGTAGGGGAAAGAAATGGCTATTTCGTGTGAGACGTGCTCGAGCATGTTGTCCACAACGTACTGATATAGTAGTCACTCGTTCAGCGTATGCCACGTACCAGAAGCGACCCCATTCGTCAGTAGCCCCTTGACTCGACGCGTACATTTTGTAGGTCGGACATCCGGCTCTCTCTTGTAGATCCTCTATTCCTCTAGACGCCCTGAGTGCCATAATTTATGATGCACATAATTGTGGCACTTGGGGCGTCTAGTGGGATGGCGGATATCGTGATAAATCTGGATTAAGAAACAGCTTACTGACCTGTAGCTGTGCCGCATGATCGGAAGGATACGGGTAGTTAGTTGTTGATCTCGATATTCTAAGATTTTTGGTCCACGACACCATTGTGCACATCACAAGTCACCAGTCATGCAATGAGATCGTCGCGATACGATCGTGCTGATGAACAGAGGGTCCATCATGTTTAATGTTCGTCCATTGGATCGAAACTTTGTAAGTCAGCTTGCATATAGGATGCCAAAACAAGCGTTTGATTTTGACATCGCGGTTGAAGCTGTTCGTATCTGCAGTCTCCTAGGATTACTTACTGCAACGCGTTAGTGTGCAATTACAGCTTGAAAGGTTTAGCGCATGCTATTCGATGTGTAATATCCGCGCTGTTGAGACAAATGGGAAGAGCTCGTAGGTGTCACGAGCTCCTCCCATTTGCTTCTCATTGCGGTCGAGCGTATCATGTGCAGTTGACGGAAACAGCAAATGAGAAGCTAAACGTCAATCTGTTGTGTGCATGCCATACAGATTATCATGCCGCAACACGATTACAATAAATAGACTCGACTTCTAATGAGCTCAAAACGAGTGTCGTAGAAGTTCAGTTTGTCAGTTGCGTCGTTTTCCATGTGCTCTTCAACATGTAAACTGACTGTTTAGCTGTGCATCTGACACAAAGTGCGATCCTCCTCCACATCGCCACTAATTGTCATCTCGACATCACTGTCAGGGCGATCTCACTTATTGCGAGCATGAGGGGTGAGGCATTTAGTGACTGTGCGCAAGGTGAATGCCAAACTTTTAAATCGTACTTTCTGTGCGTGTGCGTAAATACCGTGGCTGGGTGTACCTTGCACGTATTGAGTGCGATCTAGTCCGCTCCCTTCATAGGTCGATTAGCATGATAGGTGGCTTAACATCGATCAAAGGGGCATATGATTACATTAGCAAATGCTGAACGCTCAGAAGCAAAGGCTGATCGCGTTGTCTTAAAATACTGTACTGGGTTCATACAGACAGTAACAAAATCGTACTCCTTCTTTTGTGACTACTGCTGTTGTATTGTGTTTGGCAACTTGATTCAGTTCTCCGAAATGGATTACTTTTATCGAAGGGCGATCTCCAGAGCTTGCTCCTAAATCTTACAAATACTAGACATTGCAAGATACTCTTGGTCGCATGTTCACACGTAAAGTTGCTTATAGCTGATAAAATACTCTGCCATGATATTACACGTGATCTCCTACGAGGCAGGCGTAATTCGAACTGCTCTTTTCCAAATGTTAGACACTCCAATTTTTATCCTCCTACAGATTCATTTTCTGTATTATACCATGCGCAAGCCCCTCGAGACGACGGCTTTGTGTGGAAGTAACGTGAGAGTGCTTAGCACGCAAGACAAATCTACCTGCTCGGGATTTGATGTTAACTTAAATTTAGCATCAATTACGAGCAGAAGGAGCCGACTAAAATTTTTGCTTTTCTGTCCCCAAGACGTTGAGAGAACGAGCGATGCTACGATACCGTTGGAGACCTGGAAAAGTGCACAGAGGACGAAGAGGCTACAGTGGTGTTTATTGCGATTAGAAAACTACGCGCCCACCATATACACATGGAGTGATGTTTTTACGTGGGTTTATAAATGTACAGGTCCATCAGATCTGGTGAGAACAAGTGTCGCCACAGGGTTGGAGCCCTCGGTCGAAAGATGGTGTTAAATTTAATCTTCATTTGGACAATTCTGAATTCACTCTAGCAGAAGTGCAAATGAACTACGTGTAACTGCAGACCTTTTCCATCGACCGCGCACAACCACCCAAATCGGCGGCGTGAGTCGTAAATATAGAAGCGTAATTACGCTTAATATTTATTATTCTAGAATGCAATGAATCCTTTATTATTCTCGAACGCAATGGATCTTGGCTTAAGAGTGAGCCATCAATTTGATCAATCAATTACATGCGTGCGGTCCATAAAAATTCAGTTAATGCCCTCAAGGAGCTCAGCAAATTATCTATGTGAGCAGTGCAGCAGTAAACTATGAGACGCAGCTGCTGCAGGCTGTCATGATCTATTTTAAATATGCGCTACTACCACTTAATTTATGTGTCACAGTAAAATAAAGATATAGGAGCAAACTCTGGAGCTCGCCCTTCGATATCAGTAGACCAGTTGATAGAAGTGAATCAAGTTGCAAAACACTATGCAACAGTAGCAGTTACTGGAGAAGGAGTACGATGCTGTTAGTGTATGTATGAACCCAGTACACTTTTTCAAGCAACGCGGTCGAGCTATTAAGCATCCTATTTTTAATTTTGTGATCATATTCATTTCTGATCGATTTTAAGCAAATCACTTTCGCACTTCAAAAAAGTGACCTAGCTAAAGAGTGACCCCCGAAATAACTGCACCGATGAGTGGAACGGACTATATCGCACTCAGTACGTGCAAGGTACACCCAGCCGCGGTATATGCATCCACGCACAGCAAAGTACGATTTAAAAGTTTGGCATTCACCTTGCGCACAGTCACACATGGCCTCACTTTTCAAGGGGTGAAGCCGTGTGTGACTGTGCGCAAGGTGGGGTCGCATACAAATGCTGACTTACTTGGCGTTAGCCTGTTGCTGGACAAAATGTTATGTACTCCCAACGAGTTAAAATGTCACATACTGTATTCAGTCTATTCGTGCCTTCATCACGACGTGCAAGCGGTCAAAGCTGTACTATGATCTGCATGGTGTTCGTATAGTCTACCTTGAAATTTTTTGATTTAATTTCTTTGGCGGCCATTAGTTGACACCCAAAAAGATCAACATAGCAAAGTCGCAGCTTTGACGATGGCTTGGAAAAGACCTGGCACACATGAAGCTCTCTTTAAATTAATTACCAGACAATGAAGGTTTTTTTATCTGAATAACCAAGGTGTGGATATAAGAGCATACTGATGAACTGCGTGGCTAGTTCAATGTCCATCTGTAAGCGTAAGGAGGCCGAATGGTATCATATTCATGTAGCACTGCGAGTGAAAAGTTATAATCTGTTATCACCAGGCTATTCGGGTAGGCTGGGATCGCGCTCGCAGTCTAACCATTGACATAACGTAGAAGGAAGTACAATAGACAGACTGATTTAACATCAATGGGTGTCAGCATTTAGCAGTGTGGCCAGGACGAACCTAAATTGAAAAACAAGCACACGGCGTGGTAGTAAAACGACCAACCAAAATTCAGAGATTTCTTGTAAATCCGAAGTGGGGCCAGCTGACCCGACTTTAGTTGTGACCCGCAGAAATCCTACTGTCCAGACTTGAACCCATAACGGATCCAAATATTCGCAAAGTAGGGGATGATCACAAAATAAGTTGATGGCCGCAAATGATAGATAGCTTATTAGCGTGTGAATGGCCTCCTGAAACGTAACCTCTCCCTACACTTACCTCAGTAAGTATGACCTCACCGCTCGATTCGCGGTTTCGATTAACAACGCCTTCACCACCCCGCCTAAGAACTTAGTCATTGAACGAAGACTGCCGCGCACACGAAGTTCAGATGCGACTGGACGGACTAACGCATGACGCCTGGTAAATACTGTTAACTATGGACAGCGGCAATTTAGTCGTCATTAAGTTGTTATATGCGTGTTAGCTAGTGATTGAAATTGTCCATAATAATGCTGCACCTTTCTCATTTCATTCCTATCGGAGCGGTCAATTTGTCCTCATTTTTAATAACAGTCAATAGACGTCATTCGGTGAGGTAACAGCTTCCATAAACATACTCTCATTTATGTCGATAAACATCTGTCAACGTAAATTTAAGTGGCCTTATGCTTAATTCTCGATCGCTTCGATTACGCGACGAGTGCTTAGGCTGTGAGGCTTGTGTCACGCCCCACGATAATCTGATTGCCCAGAAATTTGTACGTGGCAGCTGAAGAAAGCCGCACAGGCAGCAGTCCAGCTCAGCGAGGGATAATCAGTTCCTCCGATGATCACGCCAAAACGATCAGTGCAGCATCCTGCTTTAGCCTGACATGATAATGTTCGTCACTTGGATGTCCAACTTTGTTGCTGCTTCTTTATTGAGCCAACGATCATTCATGTACACCAGTTAGGGGAGACGTAATGCGATGTGTTGAGTTGTTGGTCTTCCAGCTAGTATAACAAGGCGGCCTACGCACAACAACTGCCTATCAAATGAACACGGCATACTTTCTATCGACAATGCACCCGATGACCTAAATCAAATTGGTTACAGGAGCATTGTGGTACTTCAAATGGTTCTCTCCGCAAGATATGCAAGCAGTCGTATGGAGGAGTCGAAAGTCACTTACCGCGCGTATCAATGTCGGTCAGCTAGTTGTCGTCTGATCTCTTGACACCAATCGATTTTTTACCCCTATTCGATTGACGTCAAGAGGTCAGACAGCAATGCCACGTCACCTCCTACGTGAAGAAAGCAGCTAAAAGTAGCTGTGATTGAAGAAAACAATGCGTAGCTGTAGAAACTGTACACCGTTGCTGCACACCACACCGGCGAGATTTTCACAAAATATTTCACCTTAACATCCTCCACCGATTCCAGAAGCTTGCTAGTGCTCTGCAGCATTGATTTATAGCAAGCAGAAAATTGAACCGTACAAGGAACAACACGATCGTCACAAAACACCTCGTATCACTTCCACGTGATTATTACTATCCCTGTCATTCACCTAGCAGCTCCATTCAACAACCTCTCTGCATCACACAGCCATATTGTCCAGCAGAAGAATGTCCGTTTTCTTTGACATGTTGTCGATGTACTCGCGAAGCTGAGGTGGCCACTTCAAGCCACGCACGATCGTCAACCCACGCAGTCGACCAAACAAGTCAACATCGTCGTAGCTCAGCGTTTCGTTCACCGTGTGTTTCGTGTGGAACATTAAGGCCAGTTGCTCCAGATAAGAGTTGGCATGCAACACAAGCTCTGGGGTCTTGGCCAGCGCGTCTTGAAACGGACCAATGCTCTTCTCCTTTTTCACGCGGTAGTACTCGCGGCTCTCGCGTGTAGCGAACTCAGCAAATGGAGCAGCCTGGAACCTTGGATGGTACAGAAGGCGAAACACGTCTGCTGTGTCCGTGATCCACTGCCGAATCTCGGGTCGATTAGCAGACGGAGATAGCACGGACGGACCACCACAGTGCTTGTCCACGTACTGGACAATAATCATACTCTCTGCGATGGCGCGACCATCGGATAATTGGAGGATAGGCACTTGTTTACAGCCCACTAGACTGATTGGCGTAGTCTCGTCGTGGTTGGCCAGGAACACGAGCTCATGTGGCACTTGTTTCAAGCCAAAGATCATGCGTGCACGCACGCAGAATGGACAGTGATCGTAGATGTAAAGTTTCATAGAAGCGCTTTTAAGGTTTTCAAGGGTCTTTGGTTGACGTCGAAGGAGCAGCGAAGTAGCGATTGCACCGACTGCTGAGCCGATGATAAAGGGACCGAGCACTCTCGACACATCCGACATGACCAAGAGTTAATTACGACTTTCAGGGAATGGGGGACCAACTTTGTCTGGAAAAAGTATTAATGGTCGTCAGAGATGCATCGATTTTATTGGATCAAAAAATAAATGAGAGAATAGATATCTGTTAAATGTTGAGAGTGGTGCAATTTTACCCACTCGGTCTTCGCAACTCATTTGCCGGGTTTTAATTAAAGTAAGGGAAAATATACAAAGGGAAACGTTAACCACCCCCCAGGTTTTCGTAAACCACCCCCCACCCCCTATATATTACCGTAATATATACACCTTCCATATTTTTGATCGATTATAAATAATATGTCATATTGCTTAATAAAGAAAGCCAATATCAACACAATAATTGCATCATGTAATCGCTTACACGCTATTTTTTTCAAGTGTTAAATAATTTCTTTCAGCGCTTAAATACCGTAGTCTGTCATTCTCATATGGCTCTGCTACCACCTCCTGAAACTACATACGATACGCTAGAGAGAGCCCGAAAGGCACTTAATGAACATGCAAGAGCTCAAGGCTATGTCCTAACGATCAAGCGTACCAAGAAGGTGGGTAATAAGAAAGATGGCCACTAAACGTATTATTCCATGGTGTTCACAGGGGAAAAATTACAAGCCAGTTGCTGGTAACGAAGTACCAGAAACGAGAACAATCAAGCGCATAAGGGCTAGTAGAAGCACTGGGTGCCGTTTTGAAGCTGTCATTCAACGCATACATGAGCGCTGGCACGTTACAGTCATTAGAGGGAACCACAATCACGATGCATTTATTGACTCGTCTGCACATCCAAATGGTCGCGCGTTGAACAAAGAGGCTCGCGAGCGAGTTCTCTTATTGACCAGTGCTGGTGTCAAACCTGGTACTGTTGTCGCTTCTCTACGCAATGAAAGCAGCATAAATATCACCGCCCAAGATAATAACAACGTCCGTAACGATGATCGCGCTCTGAAGCTACAAGGTAGAAAACCTCTACAGTCACTGCTTGATGGACTTGTCGCTTCAGGCGTCAAATATTATACTGCACGCGAAGAAGATGGACAGAAACTGTCACACCTTTTTGTTGTTTCTCCATCGGCCGAGGGGATTTGTTCCAGATATATTGCCGGGGTAGTATGGCTTATGGACTCTACGTACAAGACCAACAGGTATGGACTACCCTTGCTCCATATCGTCGGAGTTACCTGCATCGACTATATATTTACTCTGGCATACTGCTTTATTCAAGCAGAACGAGAGTCAAACTACGTCTGGGCGATGCAAAAGCTACAACAGGAATTTTGCGAGATGGGTATTATTTTTAAGACATTTATAACAGACTAATAGCTGGCCTTGATGGGCGCGATTGACAAAGTCTTCCTGGATGTGAACGGGTTGCTTTGCCGCTGGCACATATCGACGAACAGTTTGGCCAAACACAAGAAGTCCTTCACCACTATCGATGATTGGGAGGCCTTTTTTTAAAAAACTGGAACATCTTGGTGTCACAAGATCGGATTGAGACCTTCAAAGATAAGTGGAAAAGTATGCGCGAAAGCTGGGGAATATAGCACCCGCAGGTCGTTCGATATATCGACGAAACTTGGCTGTGTTGGAAAGAGAAATTTGTGACCTGTTTTCTCCGTAACAAGCAGCATAATAAACATGTTACCACGTCTCGCGTGGAAAGCGCGCATGCTGTCCTGAAGCGCTGGACTGAATTCTCGACTGGCGATCTACTGTATGTCAACAATGCTATAAAGCTAGCTTGCGATGGACAGCTGGCTCGTATCAAGCAACAGCACGCAAAAGAGCGAGCGACATTTGACATGCGATTTGCTAGTATATTTACCGACGTCATGGGAAAGATCTCGGAAGCTGGCCTGCGCGCAGCCTTTCGCCAATACGAAAATCGATTCTACAATAATGTCGATGACAATGGAGCCGTCATTAAATGCCAAGGTACGTATATAAAGATTTCACAGCATATTCCATAATGTGCAGCTCATATTCATTTAACGTTTTTGCAGGCTTGTTAATGTCGGTGATGGGATATCCTTGCCGACATTACTTCTCCGCTAGACGCGTATCACCATCTCTTGATAATTTCGACAAACATTGGCGGCTGCTGCAGCCGCCCAGAATAGTTCATCCACACAATGTGGTCGACTTGCCAACATCATAGGATAAGGTGTCAACAGAGTACTCGAATGCCGCCGGGAACCGAAAAAGAGAGATCGTCGAACATGTTCTGGCGCTGCCCGATGACGTGCGTGATCCTGAGCGGATTAAGAGTCGTGGTAGGCCAGTCGGTGCCTTAAATCGTCGTTTTGGAAGCACATAGCGCGATCTATCGCTCTTCGAGCATGCAGAGGTCGCGCTAAATCCCCCCTAAAGAGGCGTAAATGCAGCAATTGCAGTGAGCCAGGCCACAACTTTTGAACTTGCCGTAAACCAATAGCCCCAGACAAATCACGTGGAATCTATCAGTTGCAAGATGGGGCAAATGGTACTTAGCGAAGACATCGCGCCCTTCATCAAGTTTTTCGACTTTATTTGGATTTTGTCGTCCAATTGCGGAAGTGTTCAAGATTAAGAACATCCTGGGGCTACCGCTGATTTACCTTAGATCCACACCGTGTATTCTTCAACGACTCGACCTGATTTAATTGCATTTGCAGAACATTTGGTAATCACGAGGTTCAATCTGCCATTAAGGATGCTAGCGATCGAAGGTTATGCAAGGAATGCGATTGTTGGTTACAAAGTTCCATTTTAGCTAATTTAAGGCTTGCCACGGGAGCTTATGAAGCAGACGTATAATGTACTGAAGCACTTTACCAGCTACGTGTTTATATCAGAGTGTCGAGTTGAAGGCAGCAATTCCAGAGACAATAAGCGGCATCAAACGAGCTTTATTTTTTATTGCGGGGTGTATGTTGTGGTGGCTACTTCAGGTCAACTAACTTAATTTCTAATGCTCAGCGATACGAAGCTGAAAATTGTACAAAACAAATTTTCGGATGAAAGCGATCGCACGTGGGACTATGGATATGTTGTGGGGGTTGCTATTACATTGAATCGCTTTGCAAGTCAGATTCAATCATCGCTGGTACAATGCCGCTAATTTACTATTATTTTTGCCAATGATGGACTGGTTCAACGTGTATTGGTCAACATCGATTGCACGAGCGACTAAACTTGAATGCGACTCAGGAAGCTGAACGTGTGAAGTGAAAAAAGATAGCTTATTGCTGTATTATTTGCGCCCTGGTACTGTCATCTGTCAAAGAAAAGTTGCCGTTGATGGTACCTACAAAATTAGATTTATCTGACATGAAGTGCAACGAGTCAAGAACTTGTTTATATCTACCCCTTTGACGAGACCAGCCATAAAGCGGCATCCAGCGGGTTCATTTCTTCCACAATTTTTTGGACGCGCTCACTCTCCTGAGCTTCTGCTACTATTCGTCTCTTTCGCTCTTCCAGCGTTTCACTATAATCTTCGTCTTCTGCTAGCCACAATACCAGCTGTATCAAAACCGCAATTTTTTCCGCTAGAAGATTGCTTGCTCTTCTTATTTTGGTTGTGTTTACCTTCAGCGAAGCTTCACCGTGTCTCTTTAGTTGCAATATTGTTGTCCTCAGGCAAAAATCGTTACTGCGATTGTCCAACCTACAAAAGAAAATTGCAGGTTTCTGCGTAGTTACTTGACTCTTCTACGTTGTCGAGTTGCAAGATTTAATCGAGATGCCGCTGAACTTGAACTTATTTAGTGTAACACCTCCACTCGTCGCCGGCGTAGCAGTCATAGTATCTGCAACGTCCCTCTTTTCCACAGAGCTAGCGCTAGAGCGAACGCGCAAGCCATCACCAACAGCAGCTTGGCTATCAGCGAGCATCTCGGAAGCTGCCGCAACAGCAGTACCTTGATCGATAGGCTTCACCCTCACCACACGAGCCCGGTCATTATTTTGAATCTCGCCCTTTTCGTCATTTGACTCGAATCTTTTTGATCTGGAGCAGGACGCGCTGTTATATGAAGAGTCAGTTGACAATGCGTGGGATAGAGAGCAGCCGCGATGTGCATGCCGATGGGAGGAGGTTAAGTTACTACCATTATCAAATTATGCGTTAGTCTAGTTAGTCAATTATACACGTATTACGACTACACACATACCTCGTGATAGACCTCTGCAGCTGGCTTAAAGTCAATTTCGAATGTAGCATTAATAAATGCCTTTGTGACAGTGTCCATCCAGGATAATCGCAATATCTGACATGTATTTTATCACACGTCGCCGACTTATAGACATGCATCAATTATCTGGATTTAGTATTTTATCATTTGTAAATAAAATAGTAAATTACTGCTTAAACCGGTGATTTATTCAATTCTACTAATCAGAACGCGTCCATCGAGTAAATTACGGTATTATATAGGGGGTGGGGGTGGTTAACGAAAACCTGGGGGGGGGGGGTGAAAAGGGATTCCTATGAAAAAGGCCCCATTTAACACGAAATTTAAAAGATACCCCAGATATTTAAAACAATTAAATAATGCTCCAGATAATCGACAAAATAAAAAAAATGTAACAGACGACGAAAATTGAAATACCCCACATTCTTTTATACTATAGTTTACATGTTACACATGCCGACATTGTGCTTCGACATAGGGCTTCACCTACTGTAAATACCCTTCCTGCGCTATACGCGAAAACGTCCAACTTTTAAACAGATGAACACTTGTTTACAGTCACGCGGATATTCACCGTGTTGAAGTGGACGTATGCAATGTCTGAATATTGACGAAGATGGCGCGTGGGATGACGGTGATAAATAGACTCAAGGACAATGACGCAATGAAGGCTGTATGCGAGAGTGATATGGAACGTAGAGGAGTTCGGCGATTGAAGAATTGTTGGAGGTCAATGCGATTGGGGAAGAAGGCCGCTAAAAGGGGACTAGACAGTGTGTGTGCGCGAAAGGTCCGCGCACAAGGGTA